TTGCAGCAAACTGTACCCACACATTTTGGCATATGTACTCATCAAACAGTCGTACGCCCTTGTACACCTTAGAACATTGTTAGATGTGTCGGCATGGGAAGTACCGGGACATACAAATATACATCGACTAAGTTCGTGCGGACATTTCTCTTGGGTCAACTAGCAAAATAAACTGAATTTCTTCCAAAAGAAAAGGAAAGGGCGAAGCTTTAGAGTTTTGAGATGTTCCCCGATCATCACGCCAAAGAGGCCGAACAAGTGAAGACGCATATTTGTATTTCCCAAAATCTCTCGGGCCTAACTAACTATTTGTCTAGTGATCAAGCAAAGACATAAAGATCATCCAATGTGAATCGTGTATGCATGTTTGCAGTTTTCCTTACGATGTATTGAGCACGATGACTCGTCACCATCAATATCATTTTGTGGTATGGACCCTCCAAAACGTATGTGCTATCTAGGATGGTCTCGCTTCAAAATCACTAGCTTATAAAAAAAGGTGAAGTGATTGATATCGGAAGAGAAGGGTACCAGATGCAAGTACGAAAATGTTGAATGGAGAGAGAAAGAGAGAGAGAGCAACAAAGTTAAGGTAAAGTTAATGCTTGCAGAGAAGAAATTGAATTTACTGTTGCAAGCCTAGTTCTTTTCTTTTTTTTTTGACATCGAAGATCGGGTACATTATTGGAGATGAATTGCCGCCCTTTGGGCCTAGAAGGCTGGGGCTGGTTACCCGACCGGCACTGGCAGCTGACAGGGCTGGTGCGAGGCGATGTTGCAAGAGAAAATAGCGGTCGTCACGATTGAAGGGTGTAGCGTGGGACAGTGGCAACATTTTTTTGCACTAGTAGATAAGTTTTACACCCTCTATTTCATAAAATGAGTGCGGCTGTTGTATTAATGTAGTGTTAAAAACGCTCTTATATTATGGGATGGGGGAGTGGTATTTTGAAGAGTAAACACAGCGACAGGGCTCTTTAAATCATTTTCATTTTCATTAATTAAATTCACTTTACAAAAATCATGGGTCTGAAAAGCCTAACAACGTGGACTGCCGAGTAGACAAAAGCTCAATCTGACAGAGAACAGCAACATAGGAAAAATCCACTTGACTCCATCCCGGATGATCTCGTATAATAGTCCTATCCAGCATTCAACCATTGGCAGCCAACTCGCCGATCAATCTAGCTAGAACGACCGAACCGACCGGAAGAGTCTTCCGTGTTCCAGATCACCTGCCTGCCCTGCTAGTCATCTTAAGCCCAGCGGGTTCATCTCACCTGCTCACCATATACGACTAGTCATCATAGCTCGTGCTAAGATTTGTTCAGCTGTCCGTGTCGCCGTCTTGCACTAGATCACTATCCGGTTTAGGTGCAGAGTCGTTCTCCGACCTAATGCAACGTCATCATGCCGTCCGATTAATCACTCAATATAAGCACGGACAACCTCTATGGTCGACCTGACGATGCATGCCACCAAGCCCAGGACACACCGAGAAGCAAACTTCCATCTGCTGCCCTCTCCGTCTCATAATATAAGACTAATTAATGTAAAAAAAACGTATTACATCATAAGATGGAGAGAGTAGTTGATACATAAAGCATTATTAAGCTTCAGAAGTCACGACTCTTGCGGTCTTGCCTTAACTCCCCAGAGCAAGCACGCCAGGTTGCACGTTCCGTAGCAACTAAAACAAATCTCTTTCCTTCTTTCGGGGCCAACAAATCATTTCTGTGCAATGGAGAGATTAAACGAACAGGCGCTACGAGCTCTGAATCTCTGATGCAGTTGCGTTGAAGCAAGGAAAGCCTCTGAGCTGCAGGAGGATTCCATATACACACGTACAGTACGTACGTACCAAAACGAGCTCACCGGAAATGTCACGAAAAGTCACGGCGATCCTTTTCTCCTCCATATGTCGCTAGTGGACACGGCGGAGGCAACAATAATGCTGGGCTGTGCCAAAAAAAAAAAAAACACATCCACCCCAATCTGTGCGGTCTACACATCCAGCAACCCTAATCGGAACCCCTCAAAAGGAAAAAATGTTGGGCTCCGAAAGTGACGCCCCCAGTGAGACAGTGTGTCTCCTTTTCTTCTTTTTACCGGAAGGCTTTGTGATAATAAAAGTTTATTTTGTGAATTGATAATAAAAGTTTTAAGGGAACGGGAGGATGAGAACGAAAGCAACATCCACGACGCGACGTGTGGGATGGCAGTTCATGAGCGGACGCGTTCTTCCCGTTGCTCTTGCTCGCTGTCATACGGCGTCGGCGTATATCACACGGACATCATGCTGGAGAGGATGTCAAGCAAGTCGCGATGCCTTTTTTTGGAGTCTCCACCGAGAGCTTGTGCTGTTCGGTGCTTTTTAATTCAAAATAATTGATTGCATTTGAATTTGTGAGAGTAACATTACATAATGGGACTGGATATTTATGTGTTGCATGTAAAAAAAAATATGTTTTAGTCCATTCCGTTGTCGACACCTTCCTTACGCTCTGTGGTCTACCCACGATGTTGCTGCCGGGCACCGCCACTCGTGGACGGTGTCGTTGCCCCACCGCCCCGCCTTGTTCGAGTTGCCTTTTCCGTTGCCGATTAGGCCATCCCTCTATAACTCTCTAAAGACTCCTTCTT